TCAGTGATCACTGGACCATGGGGTTAAGTCTTCTAACTTGTCTTTCTGTTCCACTCTTGCTCTCAATAGTCTCTTCTCAACAGCAGAGTGACTTTTTAAAAAACATGTTCTAAAAATTGAAAAACTGTTGTTTAGAATTCCAGAAATATATTCCAATCCACTAATCTACATAGAACCTAAGTTCTTTACCTGCTGACTATCAATGAACACAAGAACATTGATAAAACCAAAGATAGCCCTGGCTGATTTGGATCAGTGGTTAGAGCACTGGCACACGAACCTCAGGGTCCCAGGTCCAACTCCTGGTCAAGGACACATACCTGAGTTGCAGGTTTGATATCTGGCCCTGGTTGGGGTCTTGCAGGAGGCAACCAATTGATGTGTCTCTCACTCTCTCTCCCCCTCCCTTCCTCCCTTCTACTCTATCTTTAAAAAAAAAATCAATAGAAAAATATCCTCAGGGGAGGATTAACAAAACAAACTAACAAAGAAAAAAAATAATAACCTCTCCACAATTTCTAGGCACTTAAAAATCTCATGTGGTTCTGTTTTAATTATAATATTCTATATATAACTCTACTATATGGAGTGAGGCAAAAGCAGGTTTATAATTATGAGTATGTGAAACAGAGTTTATTCTTGTATTATAATTTATTAATTACTGTACTCTTTTCCATATAAACAACTGTAAACCTACTTTAGCCCCACCCTGTATAGTTAGTTTATTGACAGATCATGTAACAGATTATACTACATCATTGTTCAAAATTTTCCAAAGGCTCCCAATCACACTTAGAATAAAATATATCTCTTTGCTAAATCATACATAATCAGATGGGGAGGAGGGGAGGGCTAACCTCTTAAACCTTGTCTCTCTCCACTTACCCCTTATTATGCTATGTTATGCTGTAGCCACAGTGGCTTCCCTACTTTTTCTGAAACACACCAAATTTACTCTGCCCCAGAGCCTTTACACTCACTCACTGTTTCCTTTGCCTGGAATACTTTCTTAACAGATATTCACATGTCTTGCTCTCATACTTCATTCAACTCTCAACTCAATACCTCCTCAAAGGAGTCTTTTCTAACTAATACCTCTAAAACAGTCTTTTGTCTTCACTGCCCATCACTCTCTATGTCAATACCATGCTTTGCATTTCTTCATAGCATTTATCATTATCTAAAATTATGTATTTATTTGTGTATTATCAGTCTTCTCCACTAAAACATAACATCCATAAAAACCTTGTTTTGGTCTGCTTGTTCACCGCTGTAGTCCAGCACCTACATCCACACCTCGCATATAATATGTGTTCATTAAATACATTATATGAGAATTTAAAAAACCTGATTATATTAATAAAACATTTTTTAAAGATATTTGGAATTACCCTGGCCAGTTTGACTCGGCAGTCAGAACACTGACCCGCAGACCGAAGGGTTGGGGGTTTGATCCCCAGCCCCGGTCATGCAGGAGGCAACCAACTGATGTCTCTCTCTCTCACATTGATGTTTCTCTCTCTGTCCCTTTATCCCTTCCACTCTACCTGAAAAAAAATCAGTGGAAAAATATCCTTGGGTAAGGATTAATAACAACAACAGAACAGAATAATATTCAAATCTAATAAGTTAAATGGAAACTAAATCATCACCTTCTATAATAGTGAAATGCTCAGCCTTTCTTGACTCCGTCTTGTTCAAGCCTACTTTGTTCCCATGGCCTTCAGACTAATAGCTTCTGTTTAGTCTTACATATAGACATGCTAATCATTAGAGGAATTCTGCTTGTGGCTTAAAGGGATAGGGAAGTATGTATTGTTTATCAAAGATTTGCAGGAACCTTGTGACCAGACTCACATTATCTAGTACAATCTTCCTCAGATCCTACTGGTACCCGAATGTCTGCTGTTGCCAATCACCTCAAATGCCCCTCCCATCTCCCCTTCCCTTGACATAAAAGAAGCCTGAACATTGTACTTTTTTGAGATGAATTCGAGGAACCATTAGGTCTCCCATCTTCTCAGTTAGCAACTTCTTGATTAATAAACCTTCCCTTATTCTAAATTCTGATGTTTTGAGCCTTGGCCTTTTGAATCAGTGTGTGCATGGACTTTGGATCAATAACACTACTTGCTACATATTAATAATGCAAGTCCTTCACCAGAACCAAAAAGATTCTCTTATAATTTCTAGGCACTTAAATTCTCATGTGCCTGTATTTTAAATATAATTTACATTTCTGTATGTAACTCTATTATTATACAGTTAGCTCATTCAAAATCAGTGTTTCAACTTCTGTGCAACTAATTTTCTATGAATGAAAGTCACAATCAGTAGCAAGTTAAAACAAAACTAAAAAGTAGACACAAGTATAAGAACTGCAGTGGGAGAACAAATAAATGCCAACATGAGGTACTCCCCCAAATCCACTCCCCAGTAAAACTGGTGAAAATTATTTTAAAAAACAACTAAAGCCTCTGAAAATGGTCCTTTAGGGAAAACAACAAATGATGAAACATCTGTTTAAGAAAATCTATGAAATTCTAGAGTAAGAAAGGCTAGAGTCTATGGTATCTGAACCAAAACTTCCAGATCAGTGAGGATGGCTCTATTCCAGATTGCTGTACCCAAGAACACAGGGCTAGGGCTCTCTCTTTCCCCACTTCCCAGAGGGCTTTCTTTCTGTAGGAGCAGGACTTCAGCATTTCTCATATTCTCCTAGCTGCCTGAGCAAGCTAAGTCCTGGGCAACTGCAGGTAGAGAGGTGGAGGCTTCTAACCTTCTCTTCTACCTTAGACATGGTGTGCTGAGAATAATGGGACCCCAACTGACCTCTTGGCTCATGAGGCAGCGGCTCCTCACCAAGGGACCTCAGACTACTACTCCCAACTGAACCAAAGGGCTCAGCTCCTAAAGTGAGTAAGTTACTTGGCAAATAGCTAGACATAGCCAAATCCTGAGCCCTGGCTAAGAGATTTTGCTTGGGGTCAAAAGGCAAATAAAAGAGATAACTCTTTTTTTATTTTTTCCATCACCATTTATCCCCTCTATGCCCTCTTCTACTTTCACCCTCACACAATCACCACACTATTGTCCATGTCCATGAGAAAGAGATAACTCTAATCTCTTCCTAAAGAAAATTGTTTCATTTGCAACAGTTAATTTAAACCCAAGACCCCTCCCAAAATAGTGTAGTTTGTAGTAAAGGAAATTGGGAGGAGATCGGTGGATCTAATGAAGATACAGCTGTCCTGGGGAGAACCAGGAGAATAAGACAGATGAGAGGAGCCTTCCTGGGGTCAGAACAAATATCACACTCTGACCTCAAATTAAAACCACAATAAAATATCTTCTCACACCTGTCAACAAAGTGTTGGCAAGGATGTGGAGAAAATGGAACCTCATGCAATGTTGGTGAAAATGCATATTGGTGCAGCCACTGTGGAAAACAATGTGGAGTTTCCGCAAAAAAAAAAAAAATGGAACTGCCTTATGACCCAGTGATGGCACTTCTGGGGATATATCCTAAGAATCCTGAATCACCAATGAGAAAGAATGTTTGTACCCCTATGTTCAAAGCAGCATGATTTGGAACCAAGATCTGGAAGCAGCCCATGTCCATCAGTAGATGAGTGGATAAAAAAGCTATAGTACATTTACACGATGGAATACTACTTGGCCATAAAAAACACACCAAAAAACAACAACAAGGAAATCTTACCTTTTGAGACAAAATGGACGAACCTGGAGAGTATTATGCTAAATGGAATAAGCCAGTCAGAGAAAGACAAGTACCATATAATTTCACTTATATATGGAATCTAATGAACAAGATCAATTAAACAAAACAGAAATAAAGGCATGGATACGTGGAACAAACTGATAACTGTCAAGGGGAGGGAGGTTGGGAGGCTGGGTGAAAAAGGTAAAAGGATTTAGAATAAAAAAACACAACTCCGACACAGACAACAGGATGGTGATTACTACAGGGAAAGGGGGTGGTGGAGGTAGAAGAGAGTAAAAGGGGTTTAAATGATGATAGAACTGACTTGGGGTGGTAACCACAAAATAACAATATAGAGATGATGTATTATAGAATTATACACCTTAAACCTGTATAATTATATTAACCAATGTCACCTCAATAAATTCAAATTTTTAAAAAGGAGGGAAAATAAACTATTCCATTTTAGGAGGCACAATTTGATTAGTTTGTCAAGGAATTTGTGCCCCAGGGCACTGTTGTAAACAACAGAGCAATCAATTAGTGGAGATTAACACTGTGTTTTGGGGATAGGGGTTGTGGAGTAAAAAAGCCAGATTTCAATAAAATAATACAAGCCCTGGAAGTGAGGACCAGTACCCAGAATTGCTACAATGTATCTAAAATGTCCAGTTTCTGATAAAAGAAAATTATAAGGCAAGCAAAGAAACAGGAAAGTATGACCCATATATTAAAAAAAAAAAAATAGCAGGCAACACAAATTGTCTGTGAGGGTGATTAGATGTTTAACAGTAAATGTTTAACAGCATTTAATAGCAAAAGATATAAAACTAACCATTATAAATATCTTCACAGAACTAAAGGAGTGCTTTATAAAAGAAGAAAAGTATGGCATATTAAATAGAAAATATCAATAAAAAGAAAATTTTAAAGAACCAAATGGATATGAAAGTATAATAACTGGAACAGAAGAACTGTAGTAGGTAGAAAAAGCCTCGAACTGCAAAGATCCCTGATCCTAAAGGGTTAATGTGGGTTCCTACTACAAGACAACCCTAAATGTACTATTTTTAAAATCTACAATTTTCAATAAAATTAATTTATTTCTATGATTTAATCATAAGTATATATGCTACTTATTTTTTTAAATTAATTTTATACGCCACTTCTTGAATGACATGCATTCTAATACATAATTAGCATTTCTTTAAATACAGTGATACAATACATAACAGGTTAAATCGCAAATATTTAATAATAATATGAAAAATCTTACTGGTCTGACGTCACCACAGGAATTGGTAAATTGTCGAGCCAAGCCAAAATCAAGCATGTAACATTTCCTACATGTACTAGGAAAGCGACCCATGGCAAAGTTTGACTAGAAAAATAAAGAAGGAAAATATACAATTCTTATAACAATTAGTCCTCATATCTTATCTTTCCTATATTTTAATTCTTCTACTTAAATGCTATATAACACACATGTCCCAAATACACTATTCTAGGTCAATGATGTTTATTGTAATTAATATATAATTTCATTGTGAGTTCTGTTAATGCCTATGATCAGGTGAACTTTGAGCAACAAAGAATTTAAGCAACTGTATGTAGCAAGTAGTTAGACAGACATGAGCAGAGCAAGGTACAGAGGTCACTAGGGCAGAAAGCACTGGGTGCCTAGCAAAGGACAAATGTAGGGTGGGACCTTGTCCTCAGGGTGACCTTTCCTCCCCCCCTAGCATATGCGGTTTGAACCCTCTGCCCTTTCCCCTCTAGAGATAACATCTAGGCCTTAGTTGCATTTCAGCTCCAGGCCCAGAAAAACAGCAAAATCAGACAAGCAACCCTAGGGCGGACCTCAGGACCAGCTTCGTTGACTAATGACCTCCTGCCCTGGCACTGACCAATCAATCAATGGAGACCCAACCCTAAAAGGACACATCTGGAAAGCTGCTGAATATTCTATTGAGATCTTCCCCTGGGAGCTCCCCTAAAATCTCTACCCTTAAAATCCTGAAGGAGGACCCAGTGTGCTCTCCCTCCCAGAAGCCTGCCCATGTCTTTCCCTCCTCATTCCCAAAGGCACATCACCTTTACCTTCCTCACTTCTAAGCTCCAAGGGCCCTTCCTTACCTCTATAATTTGTTTCCTAAGCCCATTAAGCAAATTACTTTTTCCTACCTCTGTGATTTTCTAAATCAATGTTCTCTTATAGGTTGAGTCTTGGCTCCGAATTCTTTCCTAGCCAGAACTCAAGTACCAAGATTGCTGACCCCAGGTCGGATCTGACTCCACTGGTCTAACACCTGGTGCTGTTCCACCCCCACCCCCAACACAAGGACTCTTCTTTTGCCTCTGTAACTTGTTTCCTGAGCCCATTTCTTCTACCACTCACTTCTACCTCTGTGACTGTCTAAATAAACTTTCTCTTATAGTTTGAGTCTTGCCTCTGAATTCTTTCCTAGCCAGAACTCAAGTTAAAAAAAAAAAAGTTCAAAGAACATCATGCCAATATCTAAAGCAACATATGTAAATATTTTAAACCAATATTAGGAAAAAGAAATCCAAAGAATAACTATCAATTTAAGTGTAAGGCTAAGTAATCAGCAATGTTAACACACATAATAATAGTCAAGCATTAATCACTTCTAATTTTACTGCCCACAACATTTTCACTGTATGAGAAAAGCTCTTGAATATAAGTTGTAGTGTGTAATTATCATTTTTCTAAATTAAGAGGCAAGTTATATTTTGCTTCCAGTTAAATTTTCGCTACAGAAATTAAAATATTACCTTGTATTGAATCTAGAAAGCTACACTTATTGTGTCCCATTTTAAGATTAAGAGTACCAAGTAAACTCATCTGTGCTCTGGCTGGAAAAGGCTCCCTACCGGTTTGATGTCTCGGTGCAGGAATCCCACAGAATGGATGCTTTCAATAGACTCCAGAATCTGTCTACCCAGCCGAAGAGTAGTGCTAATAGTGAATGTACCCCGGGACTGGCTACGGCGTAGATCGGCCAGATTCCGACCCTATGGAAACCAAATAAACACTTTCAAATACAATACTAAAACTATGTTATAAGAAAAGATGGAAAATTATCTATTTACTAATAAAATGTTTTGTCTAAAATAGCAAGGATTTTACCCAAATCGTGATTCTCTCAAGAGAAGAGATTCTGTTAAGATAATACATTAACATTTCAAACAAATTTAAGAATAACCAAAGATTTTTAACATAACATGTTTCTGAGTCACAATTCCTTTTGTTTCTGATGTCATAACAAAATACAGTCTTGATTATTTTAAAAGATTATATATCCAGAGAATTAATTCCTCATCACTGCCTAACATATATTTCCATACAAACTACTTAATTTTTCTGTCACAGAAAATGGGGCCAGTGTTTTGTGAGGATTAAAAAAATATTTAGAATACTGTCTGGCAAACAGTAGGTATTCAATAAATGCCAGTTATTGTTATTGTGAACAAAAACTATATGAAACACTCAATTACTTCTAGCAATAAATAAAACATTGACTGTATCTAGCCTGTGCCAGATATAGTGCATTCATAATTGCATTTAATTCTCATATTGCCCTAAGTAGAAGTTGTTATTCCTGTTTTACAGATGAGAAAACGGAGGCTCAGAGAGTTTAAATAATGTTAACCTGTTAAGGTCAAGTTGTCTTTCAAATCTAAGTTTGTCTGACTCCAAAGTGTTCTTTTTCCACTTCACAGTGCTGTTCCATCCAGAAGGTTCCTTATAGCCTAGGTAACAACCAGTAATCTGATGAGAACAGGTTACAATGCTGCAATTCTACCTCCCAAAGAATGGAAACTGGCCCTAATATCGCAAGGAACTTTAAATATCCCAAGGAACTTTAAATATCCCAATCTCTTTAGTCCCCTAATTTTGTAGTATATGTTTAAGATTAATACCACTAACACCATCACCTCAACTAAAGACAGTTGATTCACTTTTGAAAAAGTAATAAATTCTTAAGTTACTTAAGTACCATTTGAAATAAAATATTAAATAGTACTCAAGTAATCTAAGAAAAATAACAAGAAAATCAGGAACCTTTCATACTACATATCTTCTTTAAAGATGCAGTTTTCGCCCTGGCTGATTTGGCTCAGCAGTAGAGCATCAGCCCGCGGACTAATGAGTCGTGGGCACTACTCTTCACAATGTACCTCAGTTGCGGTTTGTCCCTGGCCTTGGTCAGGTCATGCAGGAGGCAACCAGTCAATGTGTCCCTCTCACATTGATGTTTCTCTAGCTCTCCCTTTTTCTCCTTCTCTCTCCCTACCACACTACCTGAAGATAAATAGAAAAATATCCTCGGGTGAGGATTAAAAAAAAAAAAATGCAGTTTTCCCACAGCATAAATTGGTGGTTATCTTTATTATTTTTTTAATGTTATGGGGAATTTATTGTTCTCTACATCCTCAGCAAATGTAAAATAAGTGATAATCTAGCAATGACTTTTATAATCCCATGAGAATAACTAATAAGTTTTATTATTATTCCAATACATTTTTTCTTTAAAAATCAATATTTTGATTGCCAAAAATATACCTAATAATGGAACTTCATTTGTAAACAACTTTCACCATCATAAAAGCTTTTAAAAGAAAATCAATTAAGCTAGACTTATGAAATTAGTAATGATTTTAAAATTTAAATCGTTTAAAAAAATAAACCTAAAGTATCAAATAACAAAATCTAAAAAGATAAATAAAAGGCTGGCAAAAGTATGAGGAAAAAGTTATTAACATGGTAAATACATGCAGGTTTGATCCAACAAATTATGCAGAGTAAGGAAAAAGTAGGTTTATAGTTGTGAGTACGTGAAACAGAGTTTATTCTTATACTATTAATTGCTGTATTATTTTCCACATGAACAACTGTATACCTACTTTTGCCCCAACCTGAACTTCAGAGGAGTATACACTACTACAAATGGTTATTATTTGCTATAGAGAAAAATTGAAAACCACCTATATATCCACCAATAAATGAATGATTAAATAAATCATGGCACAGTCATCTCACTAACACGCAGTCAGTAAAATAAAAGAACTTTTATACATAGTAATATGGAATAAATGTTACTGAATAAAAAAGTAAATTAATTTCTTCCTAACTAATTCTATAAATTTAACATGATCTTAATAAAAATACCAATAAAATTAATTATTAAGAATTTAAAACATATTTAAAGGGAGAAAAAGTAATATAATAAACCTTCATCTATTATTTACTATCCCCTAGCAACACACACCCACATCTCCCTTCCCACACACATACACTGTAAGTCCCAATCATATCATTTCATCTACATATTTTTGTAAGTACATAAGAATAATGAGATGCACTTTGATGTGCCGAAACCTCACAATATAAAATTAAAAAGGTTATTAGCAATTCTATTACCACAAACTTGAACTGGAAATATCAACATAAACCATGACATATTTTCTCTAAAAAATATCTATATATCCTGAACCCATCCACTTGAAAAGAATTTAAAACTATGACCACCACTGCCCTGGCCGGTTTGGCTCAGCGGTTGGAACACCAGCCTGCGGTCCAGGGAGACCCGAGTTCGGTTTCCACTAAGGGCATGTACCTCGGTTGCAGTTTGCCCCCGGCCCTGGTTGGTCGTGCGGGTGGCAGCCACTCGATGTGTCCCTTTCACGTCGATGTTTCTCTCTCTCTCCCTCCCACTCTACCTGAACAAAAAAAAAAAGGGAAAATGTCCTCGGGTGAGGATAAAAAACAAACAAAAAACTATGACCACCAACTAAATTTCAATAGGCACCCATAGCAGCTTTCCCATTAACAGAAAACAGGGCTTAATGGAGAAATGGCTGATTCCAGCTCTGGAGTATGAAATATACAGAATGAGCAAGGTACACAATGTTGTACCAGAAAGTAAGAATGCTATCAAAGACTGCTGCAGTCTAGTCCTCTCAAAATGAATTAGGATCCAACTTAAACGAAATCCTTCCAGCTAAAGATGGAACAATTTGAACATTAAAAAGAAAAACAATGATTGAAAGATACAAAATATGTTAAAAATATGAGTTCATAATTATATTTTTTTTAAAAGAGAGAGCTAGCCCTGGTCAGTTTGGCTCAGCAGTTGGAGCATCAGTTCACAGACCAGAGAGACTGGATTCGGTTCCCACTAAGGGCATGTACCTCAGTTGCAGTTTGTCCCTGGCCCCGGTTGGGGTGACGTGGGTGGCAACCAGTCGATGTGTCTCTCTCACATCAATGTTTCTTTCTCTCGCTCTTCCTCCCTTTCTCCCTCCTGCTCTGTCTGAAGATAAATGCAAAAATGTCCTCACGTGAGGATATAATAAATAAATAAATAAAAAGAGAGAGAGCTAATTAGTCCCCTTTGGAAAATAATAGGGAACCAACTCACTATTCTGAAAACTCAAAAATAAAAGAATCAAGTATTAGTCCTGTCCTTCATGTGCGTGTGTGTGTGTATTTTAGAGAGAGAGAGAGAGAGAGAAACATCAATTGGCTGCCTCCTGCATGCTCCCTACTGGGGATTGAGGCTGAAACCTGGGCATGTGCCCTGACTGGGAATCAAACTGGTGACCTCTCAGACCATGGGATAACACTCAATCCACTGAGCCACACCAGCTGGGCAGTGGTGGAGTGCTTTTAAAAGAATTCCAACTAAGCCCAGCTGGTGTGGCTCAGAGGCTGCCGGTTCAATTACTGGTCAGGGCATATGCCTGGGTTGTGAGCCCAGTCCCTGGTGGTGGGGCTTGCAGGAGGTGGCCAATCAGTGTTCTCTCTCATCGATGTTTCTATCTCTCTCTCCTTCCCTCCTCTCTCTAAAAATCAGTAAAGAAAAAAGAAAGGAATTCCAATTAATAAATGAATTAGAAACTATACAATTAGAATAGTACATTTGCAACCCCACTGAAGTAATGGACCTAGAAAATGATTACTTATGTGTTGATAAAACCCAGAAGAAAAACCACTGGGAACTTAAAATGAATGAATCAGGCTGACAGTTCCTGAATCTCACTAATCAATCTTAACATTCCTAAAAGAGAGACAACTAGACACTGCCTACTGATGTGATACAACTCACCTCTGAAGTATTTTGGCCAAACAAAACAAAACTGGAATCTGATTTAATCACAAGTTTATAGAAAATACATGGAATAGAAGAACATGTTAAACCCACCACAGGAAGACAATCCGAAAAACCCAGAATATGGGAACTTCTGCATGACAAATGACTCTATTTTTATCAATGACAATAAAAAGAACAAAAAAAAAAAAGAGAAAACTAAGAAAAAAAGAGAGACTTAAGAACCCACAGTGACATTTCTCATCCTATCCCTTGTATCCCAATAAAAAATTCACAAGGCCCTGGCCAGTTTGGCTCAGCTGTTAGAGCGTCAGCCCGCAGACCAAAGAGTCTCAGGTTCAATTCCAGTCAAAGGCATGTACCTCATTTGAGGTTTGGTCCCTGGCCTTGGTTGGTGTCGTGTGGGAGGCAACCAATATATGTGTCTCTCTCACACTGATCTTTCTCTCTCTCTTTCTCCCTCCCTCCCTGTCAACCTTCCATTCTATCAAAAACCAATGGAAAAATATCCTGGCATGAAGATTAAAAAAAAAAAAATTTTCACAAGAAAAAAGAGAGAGACTTAAGAAGAGATCTAAACACCAAATACAATGTGTAAATCCTGTCTGAAACCAAATTCAAGTAAATCAAATATTTTTTGTAAAAGAAGAAAGCCCAGCTGGTATGGCTCAATGGCTGAGCATCAACCCATGCACCAAGAGGTCGCAGGTTCAATTCCTGGTCAGGTCACATGCCCAGGTTGTGGGCCCAATCCCCAGTAGAGGGCATGCAGGAGGCGGCCAATCAATGTCCTCTCTCAACAGGTGTTTCTCTCTCTCCCTCTCCCTTTCTCTAAAAATCAATAAAGAAAAAAAAATTTTAATAAAAATAATAGAAGAAAGATATAATCAAGGAAATCTGAAGACTTACTTGATATTTGATGCTATTATTTAAAAATCATTGTGTACTGTGGCTAAGATGGGAAAAAAGAGAAATCCTTCTTAGGGATATTTACAGATAAAATATTCCTTGAATTTGCTTTGAAATAATCTGAGGAGGGAGAGAAAGAAAAAATACACTTGGAACAAGTTGGCTATATATTGATAATTATTGAAGGTGGGTGATGAATACATGGGTACATTATATTATTCTATTCTTGTGTACATTTAATTTTTTCCACAATAATAAAAAGTTTTAAAATGTAGCAGCTCTGGTATTAGGCAATATAGATCTACATCTGTACTGATTACAGGATTCAAAATATTTTTTTGTCCCTCCCTAGGTGATATGATTATCACAAAGTAACACCTTTTGGCTATAGTAAAGATGCTCATGTAAAGCCTCAATGGTGACAAGATAGTAAGTGGGACCCAGCCAAGAACACTGGTCTTAGGCTTCCACCAAGCCCTAACACCCATTAAGTAACCAGTCCCAGGCAAACCACAAATCTCCTTGAGCTTCAGCCTTTTCATTGCAAAATGGGGATATAACCTGTCCTATTCTCTCCGTGGAGACATGGTGAGAATCAAATAGATATTTATAAATCCAAACTAAAACTTTATAAAATACCATGGCTTAAAATGATAATATCATAGTTTAAAATATAAAAATTATAGTATTACTGGCCAAAGTGATAGAAAGCAGGATCCATGTTTATAACCTTTTTTTTCTTTCTTTATATCAGTTCTATTTATTTATTTTTATTGTTAAAAGTATTACAGATGTCCCCTTTTTCCCCCCACTGATCCCCTCCCATATTTATAACCTTAAAAGGTCAAGGAACAGCTGCTTCAAGAAATAAAATTGTGCCGGCTCAAGAGATAATGAAACACATGACTCAAAGATTTTAAGGCTATAGTCTACAGAGAGATTAATATATTTTTTACTTTTTAAAAAAAATCCTAACCTGAGGACATTTTTCCATTTATCTTCAGATAGAGTGAGAGGGAGAGAGAGAGAGAAATATCGACGTGAGAGGGACACATCGACTGTTGCCTCCTGCACAACCCTGACCAGGCCGAGGACCAACTGCAACCAAGGTACATGCCCTTGATCAGAACTGAACCTGCAACTTATTGGTCCGCGGGCCGATGCTCTACCGCTGAGCCAAACCGGACAGGGCAGAGAGATTAGTATATTTAAATCTAAATTAAATGCTGAAAGATAGTTTACAGAAACAAGAATAGCCTTCTGAGGAGAAGAGGAAGCATTTAGGCCAGGACCTATATTCCTGAAACCACTGCTATGTAGTTAAGTTGAAAGGAAAGAAGCAAATGCTCATAATAGATTTTGCTAAAGATGAAAGAAAACATGGAGATTTCTATGTTAGGCAGCAAGGTGAACCATGCTTATACATTTTGATGGTGACTACAGTTCAGAGGTGTGGGTGGGAGCGTGTGTGTGTGTATGTTCAGGGGCAGAGGTAGTGTCAGAGAGAATGGGATATTTCCTCTTCTCCCTGCTGCAGTCATTCCTCCAATATTCCCCTTCTGAATTTCTCTCTGCTGCCCCAACCCAACTCCACTTTCCATCTAAAGAATAGGAAACAGAGAGAGCAATGTTAAAAAGTAGAAAGAAGAAGAGGAATAGCATTTCTCTTCTATCTCAACTAGTGCTTAAATTTTTAAGCAGGTAAGGTTGGTACTTGAGTCTAACTGGAGTCCTTAAGGTAACAAAGGGTAGAAAAGAAGGGGACAGGGACAGGGCAAGACTCTCATTATATCCAACAATCCATGTGGGCATTGAAAACTTTGCAATGATGACAATCACTGAAGATATGAATCAACTAATATAGGTGACAGGGACAAACCTTCCATCTTTGGAAATACCTGTATCAAGTCTGTTTAAATATGCCCTGGCCAGTTTGGCTCAGCAGTTAAAGCACTGGCCTGTGGACCAATGAGTCGTGGGTTCGATTCCAGTCAAGGGCATGTACCTCAGTTTTGGTTCGTCCCCAGCCTAGGTTGGGGTCGTGTAGGAGGCAACCACTCTATGTGTCCCTTTCACATCGATGTTTCTCTCTCTCTCCCTCCCACTCTATCTGAACAAAAATAGAAAAATATCCTCAGGTGAGAATTTAAAAAAAATTTTTTTAAATAATTTTCATCTGCATAATGTAAAACATTCTGAGACGATACCAAGAATGTTGTTGTTATTCTTTTCCACTATAATTATGGAATTTTTATCAAAACTGAAAGATTTTAGCCCTGGCTTGTCTGGCTCAGCAGTTATAATATTGGCCTGCAGACCAAAGAGTCACGGGTTTGATTCCCGGTCAAGGGCATGTACCTTGGTTGCAGGTTTGATCCCCAACATGGAGGCAACCAATCAATGTGTCTCTCACATCGATGTTTCTCTCACCCTAAAAAAAAAACTGAAAGAGTTTAAGATACATTTTCAATGTAACCTACCTGCAATTGCATGACCACATAGTTGAAGCGATCGTTCCTCCCACAGCCAATAAATCTACAAACATGGTCTTTCCCTGGGGAAAAAAAAAGGAAACAGTGCAAAAGGTTATATTATAATTTCTGTTCCAAAAAGTAATTTTTTTTTTTGTATAGTATTTTTGATTGAATATAAAGGACGTATCTTAAGAACCTTAAGGATACGAAATTTGCATTATTCAAAATTTCTTTTTTTTCATCTTTATTGTTGAATGTATTACAGATGTTCCTCATTTTTCCCCCATTGACCCCCTCCTCCCCACTCTCGCCCCCCTCCCGCCTTTTCCCACATTATTGTCTGTGTCCATTGGTTATGCATATAAGTTCTTTGGTTTATTTCTTCCCACCCCTCAACCCCTTTCCCTTTGAGGTTTGTCAGTCTGGCAATGAATTTGTACTTCTTAATCCCTTCACCTTTTTCACCCATTCCCCCAAGCCCCCTCCCATCTGGCAACCAACAAAATGTTCTCTGTATCTATGAGAATGTTTCTGTTCTGCCTGTTCATTTTGTTTGTAGTTTCCATTGTCGATAGATATGTATTCATTGCCATTTTGTTTATTCATATATTTTATCTTTTTCTTCAAAAAGACCCTTCATCATTGCATATAATAACGGTTTGGTGGTGATGAACTCCTTTAACTTTTTCTTATCTGGGAAACTCTTTATATGGCCATCAATTCTAAATGACAACTTTGCAGGATAGAGTAATCTTGGTTGTAGGTTCTTGCTTTTCATCACTCTGAATATTTCTTGCCACTCCCTTCTGGCCTGCAAAGTTTCTTTTGAGAAATCAGCTGACAGCCTCATGGAAACTCCCTTGTAGGTAACTAACTGCTTTTCTCTTGCTGCTTTTAAGATTCTCTCTTTGACTTGAAACTTTTGCATTTTGATGATGTGGGCCTATTGGGGTTCATCTTATTTGGGACTCTCTGTGCTTCCTGGACCTGTATGTCTGTTTCATTCACCAAGTTAGGGAAGTTTTCTGCAATTATTGTTTCACATAGGTTTTCAATTTCTTGTTCTCGCTCTTCTCCTTCTGGCACCTCCAAGATGCGAATGTTGGCATGCTTGAAGTTGTCCCACAGGCTCCTTACACTATCGTCACTTTTTTAAATTCTTTTTTCTTTTTGCTGTTCTGATTGGGTGATTTTTGCTTCCTTATATTCTAAATCAATGGTTTGCTTCTTGGCTTTACCTACTCTACTATTGAATCTGCGTAAATTATTCTTTATTTCAGTGAATGCCTCCTTCATTTCTGACTGGTCCTTTTTTATGCTCTTGAGGCCCTGACTAAGTTCACTGAGCATCCTTAGAAGCAGTATTTTGAACTCAGCATCTGTTAGGTTGCTTATCTCCATTTCGCTTAGTTCTTTTCCTGGGGTTTTGTTCTGTTCTTTCATTTGGGACCTGTTTCTTTGTCTCCTCATTTTGGCTGCCTCCCTGTGTTTGTTTCTATGTATTACTTAACGAGCGGTATGGGGCTATCTGAGACCAGATGCTGCTTGTTTGAAAGAATTTAGGAAAACCTGAAGCAGGATCCAAGACAGGCCAATCCTATGGTAAAGTAACTGGCAACAGCTTGGGTGGGCCTGAAAGTTGGGTGGGCGGGGCCTCAGGGAATCACCAGGGCAGGGCAACCAGTGTGAGCCAGGTTGCTGGAGTCCCAGATATGGTGGCTGTCTGCCGCCCGAGGGAAGGGCTCACCAAAGGAAAAAAGGCCTCCGACAGCACATTTGTCCCAGAGAAAGCCCCCTCTCCAGCCCTCACTCCAGTGCCAAACAGCTCAGTTCTTCCGTGAATGTCTCTGGTACCCCTTGAGCTGCCTCCCCTCCAAGCTTAGAGGGAGTGAGTCCAGTAAGTCCGTGCACAGGGCCCTTTAAAAAGCTGCCTGGGGCCCTGGCCGGTTTGGCTCAGCGGTTAGAGCGTCGGCCTGCGGTCCGGAGAGACCCGGGTTCGGTTCTTGCTAAGGGCGCGTACTTTGGTTGCAGTTTGTCCCCGGCCCTGGTTGGTCGTGCGGGTGGCAGCCACTCGATGTGTCCCTTCACGTAGATGTTTCTCTCTCTCTCTCTCCTTCCTCTCTCTCCCTCCCACTCTATCTGTACAAAAAATGGAAAATATCCTCGGGTGAGGATAAAAAAAAAAAAAGCTGCCTGGGGCTCCAGCCGCCTCAGCCTCCCTGAGCCTCAGTTCCCACTGGTTTTTTCAGCCAGGAGTTATGGGGACTTCTCTTCCTGGCATTGGAACCCTGAGCGGGGCGTCTTGTGTGAGACGGGGACCCCTCAGTCCTCAGGGAGGACCTTCCCAGCCAAGGTGTCCCTCCTGATTTTTATCCGCCACACGTGGCTCTGGGAGCAGCCTGTCCACCTCCGCCCCTCCTACCAGTCTCAATGTGGCTGCTTCTTTAATTCCGTAGTTGTAGGACTTCCATTCAGCTTGATTTCAGGCAGTTTGAATGATGGTCGTTCTGTAGTTTAGTTGTAACTTTGATGTGGTTGTGGGAGGACACGATACCACGTTTACCTACACCATCTTGACCAGAAGTCCACATTATTCAAAATTTCTATCCCACCTTCCCCCAAATCCTACATTGCTCCTTGTGTAGTCAAATGTTTATTGAATAAATAAATAAACAAATAAATGAGGGAACAAATGAATGATAATTTATTTAGGAAGTAAAGAATTAAGAGGTCATTTCAGATCAAATGGCCCGAACAGCATATATATGAAAGCACAGGAGAACAATAAATAAGAACCATCAGGAATATAAATCCTGAATTTTAAATATGGTCTGCCATTCACCATTATAAGACTTCAGTGAGTTGCTTAATCTTAATAATCTTTCTGGGCCTCACTGATCTGAATTAGCACAGTGGTTCTCAACCGGAGTTCCACATGTAAAATCCAAGGAGGTGCTGCATAGGGTGCAGAGGAAAGCAGAGGTGGAACAGGTAGAAATCTATGGCCCTGTCCCTGATTCAACAAAAGCAAAGGTTTTAAAATAGGATCAAGAGGTGAATTCCAGAGCCAGAAGAGAGCATCTGGCTGGAGCACAGTGAATAGAGGAAGGAAAAACAAAAGGAGATGGCACTGAAGAAGCATGTGGACACCAGATTCTGAGTGTTCTTGGACTCAATGATAAGGAATCTGAACCACATGTATAGGTCAATGTTTTCTAATCCTGGATGCTTATTAAAATAACCTGAGAATGTTTTTAAAAAATATGTTTTTATTAATTTTTTAGAGAGAGAAGAAGGGAGAAAGAGATAGAAACATCAATGTAAGAGAGACATATTGATCGGCCGCCTCCTGCAAACCCCCAACTGGGGATAGAGCCCACAACCCAGGCATGTGCCCTGACCAGGAATCGAACTAGAACCTCTCAGTCCATGGGACGACACTCATTCCACTGAGCCACACCAGCCGGGCTAACCCGGGAAACTTTTGTTGTTGTTGTTGTTGTTAATCCTCACCCAAGGGTATTTTTTCATTGATTTTTTTAGAGAGAGCAGAAGTAGGGGGAGGGGAAAGAGAGAGAAACACTGGTATGAAAGAGACACATTGATTGGTTGCCTCCTATGTGTGCCCCAACCAGGGCCAGGGATCAAACCTGCAACCAGGTACATGCCCTTGACCTGGAATCGAACCCGTGATCCTTCAGTGCACAGGTCAACTCTCTATCCACTGAGCAACACCAGCCAGGACAATCTGGGAAACTTTTTAAGATTCTTAAATTCTGTACTGATTCAGAATCTGTAGGGGAGTATATAAGATATGAGCTTTTCAAAAGTTCTCTAAATGATCCAAAAGCAGATGGGCCATGGATGAATATGTGAAAACTACTGCTGGGTAATGAGAAACATCGAAAAGATTTTAAGATAAAGAAAAACATTCCATTTTAGAACATCGCTATGGTGGCAATAAGGAGGACAGACTATAAAGAGAGTTCACTTCAAGAGGCAGAAAGGTTGCTCTGGTGATAGTTACAATATCCCAAGAGAGAGAATAGGGTTTGAATCTAATGTACTACAGTAGAGATAGAAAAAATAGGATAGCCCGGCCAGTATAGCTCAGTGATTGAGCATCGACCCACGCACCAAGAGGTTGCTGATTCAATTCCTGGTCAGGATACATGCCCAGGTTGTGGGCCAAATCCCCAGTGGGAGGCATGCAGGAAGTGGCCAATCCTTGTTCTCTTTCTTTTTTTTTTTTTTTATCCTCACGCGAGGACATTTTTCCATTTTTTGTTCAGGTAGAGTGGGAGGGAGAGAGAGAAACAGAGAGAGAGAGAAACATCGATGTGAAAGGAACACATCGAGTGGCTGCCACCCGCACAACCGACCAGGGCCGGGGACAAACTGCAACCAAGGTACGCGCCCTTAGCGGGAACCGAACCCGGGTCTCTCAGGACCACAGGCCGACGCTCCAACCGCTGAACCAAACCGGCCAGGGCTCCTTGTTCTCTTTCACCCATGCTTCTATCTTTCCCTCTCCCTTCCTCTCTGTCGAAAATCAATAAATAAAAAGAAATTTTTTTTAAAGAAAAAATAGGATAAACCTGAGAGACATTAAAAATGCAGTTTTTGACTAGAAATTGATACAATTAAATGAAAAGTTGTACCAAAATAAGAGAATATAGTAGGTTATATAGGAGTTCAGGGATGTTAGAATATAAAGTTTGAGCCCTGGCCGGTTTGGCTCAGCGGTTAGAGCATCGGCCTGCGGTCCTGAGAGACCTGGGTTCGGTTCCCGCTAAGGGCGCGTACCTCGGTTGCAGTTTGTCCCCGGCCCTGGTTGGTTGTGCGGGTGGCAGCCACTTGATGTGTCCCTTTCACATCGATGTTTCTCTCTCTCTCTGTTCCTCTCTCTCCCTCCCACTCTACCTGAACAAAAAAATGGAAAAATGTCCTCAGGTGAGGATAAAAAAAAAAAAAAAAGAATATAAAGTTTGAGGATAACCACTTCAATTCAGTAGACATTGTGATTTTAAGCCTGGTACTGAGACCAAAAACTGAGCTCCAGAAATACACTGGAGAACCA